ATTGACCATGTACAGTTATTTCAAGATTTGCATGAGCAAAAATGCCAACAGTTTGTATTATATATCAACACTAATATCGCGACTAGTGCACACAAATTCCCTGCGTTAAAATTCACTAATCTTATTAATCGAAGAATGCCTTTTAATGACATGAATACATTTATTGCAATATATGGGCATCGTTCCGCACGATACAGCAGTATAGTTGAAATATATTATAAATATTTCTGCAGTGATTATGTATCAGGACCGCTAACATTATATTATGGAATGGAGAATGCTGGTTTACTAGAACCACTCATTTCTTCCGCACGTACAATACATGAATTTAAATGCGTTATTCACGTGGTAGCACTAAATTCCTTAGAAAAGGAGCATGTAAATGCTTGGGAAATATTTATACATCTCACGCGTTACATAAAGGATCTAACAATTATACTAGTAGGACCAAATTTTGAACAGAATCATTATGACATTGAACTTTGTTCTCAATGCAAGATCAGATGTATAATGCTCCATATTGAAATTTATAGTACATTTTACCATATGTATGTGGCCGGTCCGTCCTTTAAAAAACCAAATATAATTGTAGAATTTCAAGCAGATTTTAGTAATGAGTGGACATGTTCGCGAAGCATATTTTTATCACGGATTAGACACTGTCCGTTAATTTTAACTACCACATCGGAAGAAAAAGCAGAACAGAACGTGTCTATTTTAAAACAAATTTTAGGTTCGCATTTAGAACCTCTCCATAATGCTAAAAATCCTTTTAGATCTTGGAGACCGTGGAGGAATTTTGAGACTGGTTCTGTATATTTTCGTAATCATTATGTAACTGTCTATCCTAACACACGTATTTTATGGAGACCTTTCTAAACGGTTTGGAATATTTGTATACGATTTTAGCATTACGTTGATAACATTACTGTATATGATATAAAATATGTGTTATTTGTACAAACGAATTATAAATATTTTTAATAAAAGGCACTTTTTATTGTACTTGCGATGTTTTTATTTAATAGTC